TAAAAAAAAAAAAATTGCCCATGCTCATTGCCAAATTGTTTCTAGGACTTACTTGGTATTGTACTGCCTCTCCTTGCATACACACCTACAAATGATGGGGAATGTGTCACTGTTTTACACTCCCGTCAAGACAAGAATGGACTCTCTGACTGATGAGGAAGAGTTCATTGAAGTCCCGACTTGGTTGTGGGTTATTACAGAGGTCATATTTGAGAAGTGAAATAAGATGAAATTGTGTGTAATTCTCGAAGTCATGAAGCACAAAGCACATGAGATCAGTTAAAGTAAAAAGACTAAAATATGAAATATAGTGGAAAAAAATGCCCCCATTAAGATATGCTCTCTGTATATGATAGAATTATTCATATTTCACAACACTCCCCTAGAGACTCTCTTCCCAGGTTCAGTGTTCAGAAAAAATTGTGAAGCACAAATTAACCAAAAATATATCAAGAGCATAATGGGGCTTTTTTTTCTCCGTCAGAAAACAGTTCAAACAAATAGAATTAATTGCACAAATGGCACAGACAACCGTCAAGATAAAATGTATTACTTTCCAGTCTCATTATTTGGTTTTGGTCATTAATCAACACCAATAATGGCCACTTTTCATCATCTTGGGATGCTCAAGAACTTATTCACTGCAACAAGTTTTGTGAAATAAATAACACATATGGGGGAACATTTAACACACAAAAAAACAGCTCAAACAATTGTCTGCGCATGAGGCATAGTTTGCAAGAGACAATCCCTGTCAACATCTGAAGAATTACGCAATCAAATCTTCAGGTGATGGCAGTATTGTCAATAGATGGGGCTCTCCAACATCTGCAGCCAATCAGGGCAAATGCTAGGAGCTACAGTTGCCTGACTTACCTGTGGATAGAGGGCGCTTCTCATCCCATAGGGTCCATAAGGCTGCATAAGAGCCATCGGGTTCATGCCCTGCATCATAAGTACATTTTGAGGCTACAAAGTAAGTAATTGGGGTTCATACTCTCTTACCTAGTGGGATGTAGGAGGAATATTCTTCAGGCCATCTGGGGGCATTCTCCCACATATTACAAACAATCATACCTATAATTCTCTTTTCTCCCCAAAATACGTACATCTAATAATTTTTTTTTAGTGATGACAGAGTTGGCTTTGTATTTATTTACATTACTGATCTAATTTAACTTAAAAAACCACTTTTGACTTCTTTTATCTTTTCTTTAAGTATAAATCAAAATTCAAACATATATTCTCCAGAAATCTTCATTCTTAAATAGAGAACAGAAAAAACTTGCACCATACAATTTCATAATCTGTGCAAAAAGTTTGAATAAGCAAAAGTTTCATCGCACACCAAAATCAAAACCAAGAAAATCATGGGAGAAAACTCACCATGTTCTGCATATCTTGCTCATAGCAAGCTCGGAGTTTTGCACTAATCTTGGCCTCTGCCTCTGGCATGGCGTCCAGAGAGCCTCTCACTGTCACCACGCGGTCCATGTTCATTGGGTCAATTTCATGGATACTGAAATCGAACATTTAAACATCAAATCCATCACCATCAGATATGTTTTCAGTCACTTTGAAATGTTGAACTTGTGATTTTTAACTTGCTCATGGTATCTGATCAACATTACATCACTTTGCACAGTCAAACATTAATTTGTACAATGTTTAACTACAACTTTTTTTTCTGTCAAATCTGTTAATTCACAAGCAATCACCAAGAATGTCGTCCCATGAAGACCTGTCTACAGATGACCCCAAATGCAGCGATGTACCAAATGTCACCAAACATTTTTTTTAAATATACCCTATTTATCCCCAAATCAAATGGCTTCAGTTCAAATTACTATGAACGAACACACACAGGTCATCACCTTGACACACTGGCCTTTGTCCCTGTCTGCTCCATGATGCCCTTGATCACCTGACCCAGCTTACCAATCAGACGGCCACACAGGTTGTTGTGGCACAGGATCTTCAGAGGGATCTCCCTGGAGGACAAGAAAGTAAAACAGATTGGATATATTGGTTACACGTAAAGAATGAATGCCTATGAATCAAATGCTTTCAATATGTCACATTTTTGAAAATTATCAAACACAAGTCAAAACTTTCCGTATTGTAGCTTATGGCCAACCTGGACGCAGGCCTTCATCAGATACTGTGTAAAAAAAAAAAAAAAAAAAAGTCAGTAGCAACCACAGTCAGTAGCAACTTCAGACAACAAAATCCCTTATCAAAACCAGTTGTCCCATAAAATCTTAACATCACAACAAAGAACAGAATCTCCTCTACAAACCCCTTGTTCTGTTTGTTGGCTTCCTCTTGTACAACAGCCATGATTTCTTTGCAGGCTTTGGTGCAGTTCTCTGGTGCTCCATAGATGGTGATGGCCTTCTCCACTGAGCCTGGCACGGTTTCCTTACGGTGCACATCAACTCTGGAAAGGGACAATGTTCAACATCATTACGGAGAACATCAGTATCCTTGCCGAGAATGATGTATTTTGCTGAAGGCCATCATTTACAGTAAAAAAAAAGACTTCAGGACAACATCTACTTGTAAAAATTTTAGATCTTACTGATATATTGTTAGGATTGAGTGTTCAAAGAACAGCTATCATTCACATCCTTTATCCAAAATCGGCCGTTGTGTATTTGGAATGCACAAGAAAAGATTACAGTATATGTTAAGACACCAATTAGAGCAAGTCTAGATAAAGTGCTAAGACACCATATTCTTTTGATGTAAAAAGAAAAAAAATTACAATACTGCAGGCACATCAATCATTAGTATTTAATAATAAGTATTTAATAGTATCTACTACTTCTAAATTTCAAACTAAAATATATTCCCAGTTACATGTTAAAAACCATATGTAAATGTGCTAGATTATATTCCAGACCCATTTGTAACTGTCTACTTAAATCTACCTGTCCACACAAACAAAAACATATACACATCCCATTTCAAACTGGAACCAATGCACAGTGAAAAGCTACATACCATACTCTTATGCAATCTCACAATGCACACATGCTCTCACATATCCTCCTCTCATCTTTATAACATGAATAATCTGTGCATATTCACAAACACTAGTGCAAATACACATGCCAGATATTAAAAAACNCACAATCAAATCTTCAGGTGATGGCAGTATTGTCAATAGATGGGGCTCTCCAACATCTGCAGCCAATCAGGGCAAATGCTAGGAGCTACAGTTGCCGGACTTACCTGTGGATAGAGGGCGCTTCTCATCCCATAGGGTCCATAAGGCTGCATAAGAGCCATCGGGTTCATGCCCTGCATCATAAGTACATTTTGAGGCTACAAAGTAAGTAATTGGGGTTCATACTCTCTTACCTAGTGGGATGTAGGAGGAATATTCTTCAGGCCATCTGGGGGCATTCTCCCACATATTACAAACAATCATACCTATAATTCTCTTTTCTCCCCAAAATACGTACATCTAATAATTTTTTTTTTAGTGATGACAAAGTTGGCTTTGTATTTATTTACATTACTGATCTAATTTAACTTAAAAACCACTTTTGACTTCTTTTATCTTTTCTTTAAGTATAAATCAAAATTCAAACATATATTCTCCAGAAATCTTCATTCTTAAATAGAGAACAGAAAAAACTTGCACCATACAATTTCATAATCTGTGCAAAAAGTTTGAATAAGCAAAAGTTTCATCGCACACCAAAATCAAAACCAAGAAAATCATAGGAGAAAACTCACCATGTTCTGCATATCTTGCTCATAGCAAGCTCGGAGTTTTGCACTAATCTTGGCCTCCGCCTCTGGCATGGCCTCCAGAGAGCCTCTCACTGTCACCACGCGGTCCATGTTCATTGGGTCAATTTCATGGATACTGAAATCAAACATTTTAACATCAAATCCATCACCATCAGATATGTTTTCAGTCACTTTGAAATGTTGAACTTGTGATTTTTAAATTGCTCGTGGTATCTGATCAACATTACATCACTTTGCACAGTCAAACATTAATTTGTACAATGTTTAACTACAACTTTTTTTTTCTGTCAAATCTGTTAATTCACAAGCAATCACCAAGAATGTCGTCCCATGAAGACCTGTCTACAGATGACCCCAAATGCAGCGATGTACCAAATGTCACCAAACATTTTTTTTAAATATACCCTATTTAGCCCCAAATCAAATGGCTTCAGTTCAAATTACTATGAACAAACACACACAGGTCATCACCTTGACACACTGGCCTTTGTCCCTGTCTGCTCCATGATGCCCTTGATCACCTGACCCAGCTTGCCAATCAGACGGCCACACAGGTTGTTGTGGCACAGGATCTTCAGAGGGATCTCCCTGGAGGACAAGAAAGTAGAACAGATTGGATATATTGGTTACACGTAAAGAATGAATGCCTATGAATCAAATGCTTTCAATATGTCACATTTTTGAAAATTATCAAACACAAGTCGAAACTTTCCGTATTGTAGCTTATGGCCAACCTGGACGCAGGCCTTCATCAGATACCGTGTAAAAAAAAAAAAAAAAAAAAGTCAGTAGCAACCACAGTCAGTAGCAACTTCAGACAACAAAATCCCTTATCAAAACCAGTTGTCCCATAAAATCTTAACATCACAACAAAGAACAGAATCTCCTCTACAAACCCCTTGTTCTGTTTGTTGGCTTCCTCTTGTACAACAGCCATGATTTCTTTGCAGGCTTTGGTGCAGTTCTCTGGTGCTCCATAGATGGTGATGGCCTTCTCCACTGAGCCTGGCACGGTTTCCTTACGGTGCACATCAACTCTGGAAAGGGACAATGTTCAACATCATTACGGAGAACATCAGTATCCTTGCCGAGAATGACGTATTTTGCTGAAGGCCATCATTTACAGTAAAAGAAAAGACTTCAGGACAACATCTACTTGTAAAAATTTTAGATCTTACTGATATATTGCTAGGATTGAGTGTTCAATGAACAGCTATCATTCACATCCTTTATCCAAAATCGGTCGTTGTGTATTTGGAATGCACAAGAAAAGATTACAGTATATGTTAAGACACCAATTAGAACAAGTCTAGATAAAGTGCTAAGACACCATATTCCTTTGATGTAAAAAGAAAAAAAATTACAATACTGCAGGCACATCAATCATTAGTATTTAATAATAAGTATTTAATAGTATCTACTACTTCTAAATTTCAAACTAAAATATATTCCCAGTTACATGTTAAAAACCATATGTAAATGTGCTAGATTATATTCCAGACCCATTTGTGACTGCCTACTTAAATCTACCTGTCCACACAAACAAAAACATATACACATCCCATTTCAAACTGGAACCAATGCACAGTGAAAAGCTACAAACCATACTCTTATGCAATCTCACAATGCACACGTGCTCTCACATATCCTCCTCTCATCTTTATAACATGAATAATCTGTGCACATTCACAAACACCAGTGCAAATACACATGCCAGATATTAAAAAAAAATATCTCAACATCACATTCCTGGTCCACAACACACTGTCATGTTCTCAATTTGATTAAAAAAAGCAGAAGTTGAACAAGAACACCTACACATGCATACATACACACACACACATACTTCATGTACCTAAGCAGTCTGAAAAAATGGTTCTCTCTCTCTCTATTAACTCTCTGTCGCTTAACTTGCACACACACAGACACTACATACAGTCTACACACCCGACATCAACCACCACACACCCAAGCCGACCATCCCAGTTCATCTCTGATCAAGACGACTGGCCGCCCATCACCTTACCTGGCCCTGGTGTCTTGGGTGATTTTCTTGATGGTTTGCCCACCCCTGCCTATGATGGCGCCCACAGTCTCACGCGGCACCAAAATTCTACAACAAACAACACCATGCTATTGTAAGTACACTACATCTAACTACTCAGTAGTCGTTCCTGCTGCCGGCCAGGCCCCTGCAGGGGATGGAACAGGTTAGTGGTGTTTGTGGGGGGTTGACACGCCCATACTAGACTAGTAGGACTAGGACTACCCTCTTGGTTATTGTTGCATCACACACATATGGGCAAGGGCAGTGCTAGACTAACAAGACTAGAACCAGCCTGTTTGTGGGGTCTTCCTCAATGCCGCTGCTACAGAGCACACACACAGCATGTCATAATACCCCCGAGCATGAGCACGCAGGCAGTCTACTGTTTTACCTGGCCCGTGACTGCTGCGTGATCTGGCGGACAGTTTCACCTCCGCGTCCAATTACGGCACCCACCATCTCCCGCGGCACCAATATTCTGTAATACAGCACTCATCTGATAACACACAATGACTAGGATGATGTGCCCCTGTTAGCCACACCCTTGTTCACCTCAACAAAATAATGACACAATCATGTGGTACAAAGTCCTTTACTACAGTAAATACAGAAACCATGATTCCACAAATATGAAACACCCCAATAAATTTGTCGTATAAGATGGAGAAATTTTTGACATGGACACTCAAACTCATGTTTCTTAGTTCTATCTGCCACTGTTAGTAAAAGAAATGCAATGACTGTATACTATTATGAGACTTGCATTCATGTGCCTCTAACTACAGTTAAAATAGCACAGATGATATAATGCACATCTTCACTTAACTGCTCCTGAAAGGGCTATTAAAACCTCTTTTCTCCGTGTTTGAGGCCAAATTGTTAAATTGAGAAAAATTATTTCAAAAAATGCCATTGACACATTAATTTGAACACTTGTCCATTTAAACTCTTCAACATTTTACATATATTTAAAAAAAAAAAAATCTCACTTGAAAAGAAAATTACTCCCCCCCCCCTTCTAAGTAACTTTGGGAATTTCAGTTGAATACCTTTTAAAAATGGATTCTAAAATAAAGATATTGAAATGTTTCTTTTTTGTACTATACTGCATGCTAAAGGAAAACCTACCTCAGAGGAAAATCAGAATTTCTGTTGCTCCCCATCCCTGAGAAATTACGACGTCCACCAAAGCGACGATTATTCCTTGGAGCTGCTAATTCAACCTAGAAAGGAAAATATTTCCCCATATTCAAAATCTACATCATATGAGGGCCTCTTTCCATTTTAAAATTTGGCCCTATTCCTTTCCAGGAAAGACAGAATACAAATTCTATCAAAATGGTTAAAAGTGATTTAGTTACCACATTATATCAAGTTTCAATTACTTAATCAACATCTAACTTCATCCTGGTGAGTAAATTTGAACCACAACCTCAGACCAAATCATATTCAAACACTTACACTGATCTGTGTTCCTAATAATTCGTAACCATTTAACTGTGAAGCGGCCCTACAATTAAACAAAATACAATGTAATTAAAATAACATTAACCTGCAGCATTACATGAATAACACAGTAAGTAAACATCCCACTCTGTGCTTGCAATGCTATGTAGTAGTATGCAGCAATATTATGCATTTAGTTATGTATAAACTACAAAATTTTCTCCGAAATTAATAATAAGCATCAGGAATTACACACGTGCTCTTTATAACAGCACAAAATAACCCCCACCCCCTCTCANACAGGCCCATCGGTTTTCCTTGAAATGTGTTAACAGTGTTGCATATATGCTAAAAAGTGAAAAAAAAACAGCATAACTACTAAAATAGTGGCCCGATCATGCCGATTTTCGAACTTGACCTGTGTTTTAGTAAGAATGATTACTCCTGTGAGTTTCATGACAACAGGCCCATCGGTTTTCCTTGAAATGTGTTAACAGTGTTGCATATATGCTAAAAAGTGAAAAAACAGCATAAATTCTACAATAAAGGCCCGATCATGCTGATTTTCGAACTTGACCTGCGTTTTATGAATATTAGTCAGCTCTGTAAATATAAAGCCAAAAAGTAAAACTGTCTTCCACTTATGGTGTTAACGCTGAAAGTGCACGGCGACGGCGACATGATCGGCGATGACAGATGCAGGTGATGGCAATATGTACAGACACATCTGTGTCTGTACATAAAAATATCTCAACATCACATTCCTGGTCCACAACACACTGTCATGTTCCCAATTTGATTAAAAAAGGCAGAAGTTGAACAAGAACACCTACACATGCATACACACACACACACACACACACACACACACACACACACACACACACACACACACACACACACACATACTTCATGTACCTAAGCAGTCTGAAAAAATGGTTCTCTCTCTCTATTAACTCTCCGTTGCTTAACTTGCACACACACAGACACTTCATACAGTCTACACACCCAACATCAACCACCACACACCCAAGCCGACCATCCCAGTTCATCTCTGATCAAGACGACTGGCCGCCCATCACCTTACCTGGCCCTGGTGTCTTGGGTGATTTTCTTGATGGTTTGCCCACCCCTGCCTATGATGGCGCCCACGGTCTCACGCGGCACCAAAATTCTACAACAAACAACACCATGCTATTGTAAGTACACTACATCTAACTACTCAGTAGTCGTTCCTGCTGCCGGCCAGGCCCCTGCAGGGGATGGAACAGGTTAGTGGTGTTTGTGGGGGGTTGACACGCCCATACTAGACTAGTAGGACTAGGACTACCCTCTCGGTTATTGTTGCATCACACACGTATGGGCAAGGGCAGTGCTAGACTAACAAGACTAGAACCAGCCTGTTTGTGGGGTCTTCCTCAATGCCGCTGCTACAGAGCACACACACAGCATGTCATAATACCCCCGAGCATGAGCACGCAGGCAGTCTACTGTTTTACCTGGCCCGTGACTGCTGCGTGATCTGGCGGACAGTTTCACCTCCGCGTCCAATTACGGCACCCACCATCTCCCGCGGCACCAATATTCTGTAATACAGCACTCATCTGATAACACACAATGACTAGGATGATGTGCCCCTGTTAGCCACACCCTTGTTCACCTCAACAAAATAATGACACAATCATGTGGTACAAAGTCCTTTACTACAGTAAATATAGAAACCATGATTCCACAAATATGAAACACCCCAATAATAATTTGTCGTATAAGATGGAGAAATTTTTGACATGGACACTCAAACTCGTGTTTCTTAGTTCTATCTGCCACTGTTAGTAAAAGAAATGCAATGACTGTATACTATTATGAGACTTGCATTCATGTGCCTCTAACTACAGTTAAAATGGCACAGATGATATAATGCACATCTTCACTTAACTGCTCCTGAAAGGGCTATTAAAACCTCTTTTCTCCGTGTTTGAGACCAAATTGTTAAATTGAGAAAAATTATTTCAAAAAATGCCATTGATACATTAATTTAAACTCTTCAGCATTTTACATATAATTATTAAAAAAAAAAAAATCTCACTTGAAAAGAAAATTACCCCCCCCCCCCCTTCTAAGTAACTTTGGGAATTTCAGTTGAATACCTTTTAAAAATGGATTCTAAAATAAAGATATTGAAATGTTTCTTTTTTGTACTATACTGCATGCTTAAGGAAAACCTACCTCAGAGGAAAATCAGAATTTCTGTTGCTCCCCATCCCTGAGAAATTACGACGTCCACCAAAGCGACGATTATTCCTTGGAGCTGCTAATTCAACCTAGAAAGGAAAATATTTCCCCATATTCACAATCTACATCATATGAGGGCATCTTTCCATTTTAAAATTTGGCCCTATTCCTTTCCAGGAAAGACAGAATACAAATTCTATCAAAATGGTTAAAAGTGATTTAGTTACCACATTATATCAAGTTTCAATTACTTAATCAACATCTAACTTCATCCTGGTGAGTAAATTTGAACCACAACCTCAGACCAAATCATATTCAAACACTTACACTGATCTGTGTTCCTAATAATTCGTAACCATTTAACTGTGAAGCGGCCCTACAATTAAACAAAATACAATGTAATTAAAATAACATTAACCTGCAGCATTACATGAATAACACAGTAAGTAAACATCCCACTCTGTGCTTGCAATGCTATGTAGTAGTATGCAGCAATATTATGCATTTAGTCATGTATAAACTACAAAATTTTCTCCGAAATTAATAATAAGCATCAGGAATTACACATGTGCTCTTTATAACAGCACAAAATAACCCCCACCCCCTCTCAAATGTGGTAGGCAAACTGTTTGTGAGTTCCAATTTGTTGAATTATTTTGTTGTCTAGACATATAACGTGTGACATATAAAAGGGCCCATTTTCAGGACCTTGTACTCACTCTTGTGCAGCTTCTGGCGACTCGTAGATGACAACTACAACATTCTCACCATTGCGGTTTGTGCCTACAGAAGACAGAAGACTCCATCACGCAAAATGTTTGAAAATACCATGAAAACAAACCATAACCTTTAGAAAATTCAAACACTTTTCTGGGAACCACTATGTACAAGAGTTATCATACTAACCAGGCATAATTTGTTAAAGAAGTTACAAATTGACTAAACAACATAGGAAACAAATGGCAATCTTAGTAAACTGAAAAAGTATTTTTCACCTTGTAAATTTTGTAGACTGCTTACGAGTATGTAAAGCACAATTAATTTTCTTTCCATTCGTTTATTACAGCTGCAAGGCACGGCATTAAAAAATCAGTCTTAAATTCTTGTGACATTTATGAGAGCTTTGCTTTTTGATTGCTTTTGATTCAAAATTGTCTATTCACATCATGCTGAAGAGCTACCTGTATAATAAAAATAATGAAGTTGCCATTTATATCAGCCCCTGCCAATCTTTTTAAACTTTGAAGATTTCTTTTCAAATAGCACTTACTTTCATCTGTTTTTATAACTGGACCGAAAGCAGAGACCAAGCGCAAAAGATCTTCGTGGGTTACTTGTGAAGGAACGTGGCGAATTATGATTTTGGCAGTGCGTCTGAAAGAAGATTGAAAAGAAAATGTAAATCTTAACGCATGTTTAAAAAAAAAGCACACTTCAAGATTTCACTTGCAACTTTGCAGCACAGAGGAAAGGTTCGTTAGAAGCACTGTATCATCAGCAGGGTGTCTGCTTATTTTGATCGTGCGAAAGAGAAGTCCTAGAATAGATCTAGAGCACGTGCACACCATATTGTATTAAGTCTCCTTTCTTTCTTTCTCTTGCTCCAGAACTACAGTGTATGTTCTGTGTTTTCAGTCTCAGTAGGAGTCTGTCTAGCCTCTTAAACACTTTACTGCAACAATGAAACACTTGTGTTCAACAACTAAAAAAGTTCTGAAGTATTCATCAAACTATCCCTGAAGCTACAATTTTGGCAACCTAGCCGTAAGATCAAATTCTCCCTTTTAGCTGGAACAGAGATTTAAAAAAATATCAGAAGGTGCAAAGCTATGTGCAATGAAAAGCAAACAGTGACATCAAGCATAGAAGCCATATGGCACTGAACTTACACTGCTCTCCATCCACTTTGACAACCACATTTTTTTTTTTTTATTTCTTGAGTTTCTACTGGTTTCATGGGACAAGTTTATACTTTTAAGTTCACAAATACAGCTGTCAACTTTGTCCCCCCATCCACTTCACCTTCAGCAATTTAACAGTTCAGTGGAATACATCAAACAAAAATGAAGATCGATTTTATTGCATTTCATTATCTCAACTAATTTATCTAAAAAAATCATTGTATATCTATACACAAAAATGTTAACTAGTACACCACACTGAAAAACTGAAGCCATAATATTAGCCATTATTTTCTGATGATTATAAATCAAACAAGACACTGCAAATTCCTCATGTTAAAATGAAATCATAGTGCAAGCTAGTTTCTATGAATAATAATAAGCTGTGCTTGTTTTTATTTATCCACACTGACTATATCTTCAATTTTAATTTTGCTCAAAGTTAGTTTAAAAACCAAATATCTAATAAACGACAAGCAAGGAGTTCTAAGATCTTTATCTCATTTTACGCCCAGTTTTAAGTCGAGCCTCTGTGTTAAACGACATGTGAAATGGGCCTTAAGGATTCTATTCTACTATTCTACATCAGAATGCAATGCAAGTGCAACGGTAGCCGACTTGTGGATCAGGTCAGGCTGTTAGTCTATACAAGGACAGACACACAAAGGGGCTACTGTTAATTTAAATAAAGCTGACAATGCAAGCACAAAAGGACAGCTCTGCACAAGAAAAATCTAAGAAGAAGAAAAATAGGGGAAAATTTATTCCCAAATTTGTTTCCCACCAGCAATTTACCAATACTAAAGTTGAAGCCTGTAACTTCAGTAAGACAAACAAGATTTAAAGCCTGTAGAGAGAGTGAGAGCCGAAAAAATGTGATGATATCAACTTACGAATTAGACGAGTCCTCTTGACCACTTTCATGGTGACCGTTATAATCATTATCGTTTTCCTCACTTTGGATGTTGTTATAAGGTTCGTATTGTTCAGACTGTTCATAACCAGCCATGATGGTGTGCTGCGTAGTCAGCTCAGTACAGATTCCACAAGTTAGCTACTTCTAGCTTCTGCAGTAGTAGTAGTAGGAGTTCTACAACAGAGGAGGGGGAGAGTAGTACACACAATGCTTCAGCACGAAATAGCGGTGGTGTGGGCACAAGCATTTATACAGTGCTGCTCAACTCTACACACATTTCCACAGCTGAATATCATGTGAGACTTCACCCGCCTTCACTTGGTGCCTTCTTTTCAGGATAACAATGCTTTTTTTTTTTTTCTTAAAAGTACTCACATTTGGCAGATATATAAGTCAATCAGACACAGAGAACCCCAACCAACCTACCAACCAAAAGCACATTAATCAACTTCTTTTTGAATGTCATTTTTGCAGTGATGATCAAATGGTGACATGTTGTCAGCAAGGTGGCAAAACATGTTTTAATTGAAAATAAAGTACTTGGCTCAGTCAAATAAAGAAAAAGTGACCACATTTTACATTATATGACATGATGGACAGTCATATAAAAAATACTCTGAAAAAAAGTTCACTTATGATGAATCCCTAGTTTGAAATTGAGCAGCACTGCCAGTATACTGAATACATTTGTGAGCATACCAATTTGAGACTATGCTAAAACTACAGACTACAAATTATAATAAGGTTTAGGGAACAAACTGGTAACAGGCATCTAAGTAAAAAAAAAAGTACATAACACTGTTGGATGCAATAATAATTCAGACAAGCTCAGTACAAAACAAGACAAATGTTAAAATTAAAAATAATCCAGCAAGCGCATAACTATCTCTTTTATAACCTGACGATAGAATTTGTAACGTAACATTTACAATAAATAAGTATATTCAAATACTGACAGCCAATGGCATTTCCCAGCAATGTCGATTTATGCTACTTATACTTTATTCAATTTTTCCATGGAGAAATACCAAAAAAATCACTTCAGTTTTTTTTCCTACTGGCCATCCTGACCAGTAAGTAGACTTCAACGGAAACTAGACACTTTTCAATACAACTTGCTCAAAAAGTGTTAAGCTACAATAACTTAACTTCAGTGTGTTGCTATTCCTATCAGAAAGTATATTTACCTGGCACAAAAACCACAATAGCTCATTTCGCTAGAAAAACATACGTATCTCAAAGATTTCTGATCCTTTTGTTGACGAAATCAGAGTACATGCAATGTGCAAATTTCTAATGCTATGGCAACATAAAAGTTGCAGAATGGGAGTATCTCTACCATAGTCAAATACCACATCTCTTTCCTAACAGTTGTAAATATAGTACATGATGGTCATTATCAGACAAATATCATTGGATAGTTATATAGGTCTACATAAGGCATGCATATCTTACACCATTTCCCAAAATCAATACTACAAAAACAACAGGATGCTGTGGTAGTAAAAACAGCAACAAAATAAGCCCACACAGAAAGATGGCAGACGTGAAAAAAACTCAACTCAGAGCTAAAATTTTATGCCCCTTTTTTCGATTCTAAATATCTACTACTAGAACCATTTTTTCTTCTAATATATAGCGAAAAATGTTGATAATCTCATGGGTAACAACATTACAAATGTGAGTTAAAGAGACCATGAAATATCCAAAGATATTATATCCAGAACACAACTGGGGACTAGAGGTACCTCACAACATTTCAGTACAAATAATCATCAGTCATATTTCTCCTAAAAGTCCACTTTATGCTCTCAATCCTAGCACTTAAGATTTATGTTAAAATGACATTAATAGGGACTAGATATGACGTCAGCTGACAAATTTCTACAGCATTGTATTCACCAACCAGCAGGCATTTTGCTGTAGGTGTACAAAATAAGATAAACAATAATGAAAGAGATTCCAGGTTTTATATACCATATTACGCAGCAGCTGTCGGGTTAGGTATATCTAATATTTCTACTGCTGAGAGGCAGTTTATCGCAAACTCTCTGCTGAAGGATCTGGGAGGGAAAAGCTCACTGGTGCACGATGAGCCCTATAAAGATGTTCCAAGAAATCAATTTCTGCCAGAGGCTGCCGCTAATTGCTCCAGTTTACCAAGAAAGCTGCAGACTTAAGTGAACTTTGTTGCCACATGTTACAACAAACTGTTGTCAAGCAACGCCCTGGAAAAACTGAAGTCGCATTTACACTTAGACACGTTTATCCTTCTAAGCATGACTCTTCCATGCAGACCCTTTGATAGAGCTAAGCTTACTTTAGCATCAAATCTGTCCTACTGGTTCTTATTACAATAAATATGTACAGTAAACCCGACTAATAATTATTTGGTTAAAACATTTTTATAAGCTTATTAATTTGAAAGATTTGCTAAATTCTGTTGGGCTGAGCAGTTGCTAGGTTGTTCTAAGCAGATACATGAGCCAGTTATTACGTAAGTACAAAAGTTTGTTATATACAAAAACAGACATTGAGACAATATATAACACTATCACAGTCCCACTCTTTCTCAAAAATTAACCAAAACGTTAAAAAAAACTATGTTGATGGAAAAATTGAATTTCCAAATTCTTGTAGTCTCTATATCAATACCAAACAGCAAGGTACAAAATTTTCAGTTGAATTCTTTTTGCAGGTTCTTAAACCACCCAAGTCGCCTCTAATAGGTACACTGCATTCCCTCCCACTGGCGGTTGATTTTTCACCACTTTAAAATATTTCAATCCTAAAACAATCTCAAAACATTATCACAAACTTACCCAATTCCAGGATGTGGTGAAGTATACCTGAGAACCGTCCTCAACCCACAGATCCAGATCAAATAACAACAAGCAAGATACCACCCACTCTTCAGAGAAGAGGGAGGAAAACAACAGTGCCGATACACTGCCCTGTGTATCACTGAACACAAATTACAGCAGTAGGTTTACCTGCTGGAATCACAACAGAGGGGGGACTATGATGACAATGAGCAAGCTGGGGTCATTCTGACATTATTTTTGTTCATACCAGACTAATTGGTTCCTCATCAACTCAATGAGATATTGGGAGAGTGTGTACATATTTTGCAAGTTTCTAGAGCCCATAAAATTTGTTTCAACATTTGGCATACAGAAGACCCTTTTAACATCTGGTATAAATCTAAACAGGAATAAGGAGAAGGTTCCAAATCAAAGCACTGAGCCACATTAACTAAGATACAAAAATTGAAAAACATAAAATTTAAACCAAAATACTATTGTCCAGTCAAAAATTGGGGAGCTAACATGCTGAGAACTGCACCTACCAACCCTCCTCACCAGTTTGTTACTATTTAAAGTTCACTGACTCACAGACTGATAGCTACATTATTTACATCAATTCTCAACACAGACAACAATTACAAGACAATTTTAACAATCTTTATTTATATTCTAAGAAATAATCATTGGTCACCATTCAAGGAAACATGTTTTGGTTCTTTTAGTGCAGTATTACTCATGAGACAATGCAACAAAAACTATTAGCTATATTGATATAGAAGACTATCAACACTGATAAAGAAGACTATTTATTTTGCCTACCTCACAACATTCATTTTTAATTCATAATATCTTGTTCTAGTATGCACTGCATATGTGAATTATCAGGGCAAATACTTCCAATATTATACCCAGAAGATGGTAGACAAACATCAACATTCATACTGCAGCAGACAATGGATTTACAATCTTTTCAGCCCAATATAACTTTATCATCTTTATCAAAAATCATACCTACTGATAGTGAGTTTTGTTAAAACAAGAGAAACTCCCACAAAACCAAATTATATAATACAGCTAGCAAGAACAAAATTCCAAACAGTTGCCATATTGGGGCCATTTAAAGAATAAATCATAAATAAGTAAACAGGTAAAAATGGTATTGGCTCCTTGAGACCACAAAAAAAAGATTTTTTAAATTGTTAACTGGCTTTTAAATTGCTAGCCGACTCTTCAACATAGCATATGCTGCTCATAAAATAAAATAAAAAATGTCTATCACTGTTATCCATTTAAAAAACTAATTATAAACAGGTAATCATCACCTTTCTATTTTGATTGCAAAATGATAGGAAATCAATCAAAAACAGCTGATGGTTTAATATTCATAGAATTTTCAATACATACTGTCAATTCTGAACTGACAACTTAAAAGCAGTTTCTGATTGATCTCAAGCAAACAACACATCTCTATTATCTTTAAAAATTTCAAAAGGTCAGTTTTTTAAAACCCAGAGACGGGTTATCACTATTACTTACCTATGTATGGACATGGAAGGTTCCACTTGCAAGACAGAGCCTAGCAGATTGTAGCCTACAGGAGAGAATTAAAACAATTAGATCATACACAATTTACCAATCATACCCAATGCTAATTCTAATTCAAATGCTGAATAAATTTAGCTAATGACTTGAAATGTTCTGAAAATCTATCATGGTTTGGTTGTTTTTTTTTTTTAATTGTCCAATCTATTTTGCTAAAACAAAAGATACAGATAGATAAATAATTATTTTGGCTGATGAAAACATAACTTTGAATTTTTTTTTTCTATAAATCTATTATGGTTCAAATGGAAAATGATTTTCAAATGAAAACATTTTCATCTATTCTGTTAAAACAACAACCCCACCGAAGCCATGCATTAATATAAATGTTACCTCAATTTATATCCATTCAATTTTTATCAAGATATGGATAAACCCCATCCTACACAATCAATAAAAAAAGTACAAATAAAGATATTAGAAAACAAGTTATGGCCCATTATAACCACATCTGTGAAATATAAAACAGGACTGCCTGATCACATCAACCTTGTTTCCCAGAAAGAAGAGCATGCAAACCTATCTTAACGTCCCAATGGAACCCATCCTATTCCCTACAGATCAGTCAAAGAGTTCAATCACCCAGAGAAAAATGATTAGATATCTCTTTCAATGGATATACTCATTTCCGCTCTGTGTCAATATCACTCTGAAGTCCACTGTATGATAATGACACATATTACGCTATTGCACAACCATTTCTTTCAGATTGCCCGTTTCAAAGAATTTCAGCTGCCATTGGTAGAAAGTGTGCTTCATTCAGGCCCGCCCCCAGATTTGAGAAAATGCAAGTGTAAGGTTGGCTACCTGGCTTGGAAGCAGTGAACCCAAACATTCTATTTGTGGCTTCCAAGTCTGTTATCTATCATGTTCAAACTGCAATTTCCATATTGTAAGCTTTCATCAGTAATGGATATGAACCTCTTACAGCTGCTACTGACATATACACACCACAGTAAGGGAAATGAAAGATGGTAGGTTCGTTGGAGAAAGGCCCCAGGACTAAGTCGAAACCAGAGCGATAACAAAGAAAGATAGAGTTAAAATTATGTGGAAAAAATTTTTAAAATATACTGCTAGAACAATAACTTCAACTACCTGTGAGAAATCTGTATTTATCTCTGTTCTGGTGACACTCACCCTATATCAGATATTTAATCAGCTATATTCTTATCTCTTCATGACAAGGCTATGCTATTTCAAGCCTAGTAACCCTTCCCTTCAAGATAATACCCCTCAACTTTCAGTTTTCATTAAATTCACACTGCAATTGGTATTTTTTTTCTCTCTCACTTCATGTTCTGATTTGAAAAAAAGATACAATAGAAAAGATGATATATTATTCATATTGTGTACAGCAACATTTCTATTTAACTGCATTTTTCATTACATGAATAAATAGAAAAAAAAGATAAATAGAGTTCAATGTGTCTAGCATCCACAACCGAAAAAGAAATATTTTCTCAACATTAAATTTAAGCAAATGCTTCAATCCAAACACTTCAGCATAAAGTATGTTGCTCAAGCCACCATGTGGGGCTTGTGGTTTTCATTTTGCATTTCCGTTGTGAAATTCCTCTCTATGAATAGGGTCACTCTCCGCTTTTGTTCACTCACGGTGCACTCTCTCAGCTTTGTTAGACAACAGGGGAATACTGTTATTCCAACCCCTGGCTATCACGTGACATAGGGGTCTTTTAGTCAAAAACCACCACACATGGGGAGCTCCAGTCCACAAAGTTTATTGATATTAATGAACAGAAGATCAGTCCCCATAGACTTCAATATGTGCGCTTCAGCAGCCCAAGGCCGCAAAAGCCTTTGCAGCACAGGGTGGACTAAAAACTGCTTTCAGACTATCTGAAGGCAGTGGGCCATTTGCACAAACCTGCTTTATTATACCAAGATTAAATTCTTAGTCCTGTGAGCAGGTAGTTGGATTATACAGGAGACTGCTCTTGCCTGGCCAAGACATAACAATTTTGCATTCTACTTTTCGAAATTACATCTACATATGATTTAGTCAAAACTGTAGCTTTAAGTTGCCTTCAATTACATTACAGCACTGTCACAGTGAATGTGAAATATACTTTAGAATTCTCTTGTAAATGTTCTTTTAACTGCAAAAAAATATTAATATACGTGCTACCCCTTTTTTCACCTGTGCCTAGATCTACCAATATTGCATTAGTTTATTACAATCTTCACCTACTAACTTGGCAGTCTATGCGTGTGTGTGTGGGTAGATGCCAAGAAGGCACAGCTTGTGCAAGTGGCACCATGTGATCTCGCCGTGCCACTCTGATAGTAAAACCACCAATGTGTGCAACCAGGGGTCATGCCAGGTTTGCATTGTAATTTAAAATTCACTATCAGTTTAGAGTATTAGTGACGATCTGGTCCCTAGATAGGTTGTCATAAAATACAATCTACAATCTAACCATCCCTTACAAAAAAATCACTTTGTTCCCCCCCCCCTCCATAAAATACTAAAAAAATATTAAATCTCTGTTCAAATTTGAAGGGGACTTCCACCCAAGATTCATTTTTTCCCCCCAGTGGGCCAGTAAATTTGAGTCAATAGACCCATATAATACAGTCATTTTAGGTAACCTGGTCTGGCAACAATCTTTCACATTTTTGTAAATCCATATAACTGAGGTAAAGGTCGCTGATCCTAATTTAATTAATTTTAACTAGACTGGAACTATTTAAATTTATGCTGCATGCAACATACAACAGGGATCCTATCTTTGCTAAAAATTAGTTTTTTCTGCATTCTGGATCATCTAACACCCCATGCTTGTCAGCAATAAACCAATCAATAATTTTCATTGGAAGGAAAGATAGGATGTCTAACATTTTAATTGCCAATCTGAATGTGGGCGGTGCTTATTTTATGCACATCCTGACACACTTTAGTTGCCAGATGCATTGATAGTTTGATAGGTGCCACTGTTATAGCATATGATAATATAAATGTCTACCAACAAGGCCTTGAAACAAAATACTTTTTGTAAATGTGGTATCCATGATCCATCTTGTCATAAGACACTCAAGTATAAAGTAACATTTCCAAATCTTTGAAATATGATGTCAGTTGATATGCGGTTGACTAATATTAAGGAATTTATCAACCGATTTATTAAAATAAAATACAAGGCTCTAAATGAAACTGCACAGGTATTTTTGTGGGTGACTGAATATTTGAGACCCTGGTCAGGCATTACAGATATCTACCTTGGCCTGGGCACTGTAGATACTTTGGCTTGTTTAGCTTGCACAGACATTTGTCTAACTGACAGTTGGGCGATCTATTCAGTACTTCATTATCTAGACTTAAGCTCTTTCCAATCGATACTTAACACCACTCTGCAAGTGTCAAATGCTGACTTTACACTGCACTGTTCAACTGACCTTCCACTATGACCTAGCCATGTGGCATGCCGGCCATTTTTATGAATGAAACCTGGCGTCTTGCCCGTGATTTTACTCCAACATTTGTCTACTGTTTACTCCATAAAGAATACGTCTATCGCGTATTTCTCCACCCCTAAGCAAATTATCAGCAAAATGCACGGAATCTGCACGGACGTGACGTTATGCTGGGGCTGATCTAGTCTTGCATTTTGGAACGCGACCGCAAACTCGCACAGTGCTTTGCCTCGTGGAGGCCGGCCATGTTGAATATAATCAGAGAGAGAACTGGGTGCAATTTGCCAAAATTCCCAATGAAAATACAACTGAATGCAACACAGTGTGCTAATGGATGATGTCTTACCGTTTAGGCTATCAATTGCTTTGTCGACGGTTGTTTGGTCCGGACAGTCAACAAACGCGTAGCAGCTCTGTGGCTTGTTCTTCACCAGTATGTCTGTCACGCCGAGTCCCTGGTCTTCGAACAGCGTTCTCAGTGTTCTCTCACTCACCTCTCGACTTAAGTTACCAACGTATAACTTGTGCATCATTTCTGTCAGATTATATAGGTCAGTAGAGAAACAGGTTTTACAATATATTCCAAAGTATCTTCTCCCTAGGCTTCTCCGAGGGGAGACAATTCGAACTTCTTCACTATCGCGGAAGGATATCACGAGACAATTTGGTCGCGGATGAAGACTTCAGACGTCTTCATTTTCCTAAAAGGGGCGTCAGACTATTAAAATTATAAAAATTTACGCATAAAATGTCAATAACAAGACTCTTATTTATTGACAAACGTCAGACAATCTGTTTTTCAACTTTCAATACCAGTATTTTGGCATATATTAGACTTTGTTATTTTCAGTCGGTTTGTAATATGATACAATATCCTCCACACGATGAGCTCGCCTGCCATAGCTCACACACACGTGGTAAGGGTCGGACTTCAAGACTGCAGACGAATCTGAAGTTCTTTCATTTGTTTGTAGATGACGATTGCTAGTGAAATAATAGTTACTGTCTGGTTTATTCAATCACAACAAAGTCCACTTGGCATTTCAACGCTGAAAAATTTGAAAGAATGTCAAGGGCTTACAGACTGTTTCCCCTCCAACCTCACCGACTTACTCCTCGGTTACAATGTAGAGTCTACATTGTATCTTTTTAGGTGCTTTTTATGTTACATTTTTAATATTAGTATTATTAATAACAATAAAAAATAACAATAATACATACTCATGTTTTGTGTGTATGTGTATGACTTCGATGTCAATTCTATATAATATGGAAGGACTTAATAAAATTAAGGTTGAAGGTAATTAAAGGACTTAATAAAATTAAGGTAAAGGGTAATTTTCGCTCTGTTTAAACTTGTTACAAATACCGTAGACATGAATCCCTTGTTACACCCCGCTTTCTAAAATAATTATATTTCAGATAGTGTGATTTATGTTCATCTCAGTTATTTGATATTTAATGACAG